GAAGCTCTATCCAGTGCTTACCTGTGGATGTCCACATCTGTCTCTATCAGTTGCTTGATGAAAGTTCTATGATAATAATTCAGGTAGTCATCAATCTGATTACAGGGGAAGGTCAGTTACAGTACCCTCCCTTCTAATGCTTAGGGTCTTAGTTGGGGTCATCTTGTGGATTCCTGGGAATTACCCTATTGTCAGGTTTCTCATTGGCTCAATAATAACTTCCTGAAACAAGATATCTCTCTTTGCTCCCCCTCTCTGTCCTTCCCCCCATATCCACCACCCAGTTATCCCATGTTCTCCTCCCCTATCTCTTTCTCCTCTCTCCCCACACTTCTGATTTCCCATCTCCTCCCCCCCCAACTATGCTCCCATCTTGTGCATTTCCCTTTCTCAAGGGGAAACATGTATGTCTTTCTTGGGGTTTTGCTTGTTACCTAGGTTCACTGGGGTCATGAGCTGTAGGATGGTTATCCTTTGCTGTGCATTTAATATACACTTATGAGTGAGTACATACCATGTTTAACTTTCTGGGTATGGGATACCAAACTCAGGATGGTTACTTTTAGTTCCATCCATTTGCCCGCAAATGTCCATGTGATATGAGAGGGCATCTATTGTGTATATGTCCAACAGTGGTATTGCTTGGTATTGATATAGATTGATTGCCAACTTTCTGAGAAACCAACATACTGATTTCCACAGTGGCTGTTCAAATTTGCACTCCCACCAGCACATCCTCTCCTACATATGCTAGTATTGATGTTATTTGATGTGATCCATTCTTCTGACTTGTATATGATGGTATCTCAGAGGCAATTTGATTTGCATTTCCCTAATGGCTAAAAATGTTGAGCAATTCCTTACACGTCTTTTTGGCCATGAGGGATTCTTCTGCTGAGAATTCTTTGTTTAGATCTGGAATATTTGACATTTTGATGTCTACATTCTTGAGTTCTTTGTTATTTTGGACATCAGTCTTCTGTAAAGTATGGAATTGGTGGAGATCTTTTCCTATTCTGAAGGCTGCCAGTTTGCTTTTTTGGCTGTGTTCTTTGCCATACAGAAGGTTCGCATTTTCAGGAGGTCCCATTTACTAATTGTTGTTCTCAGTCTCTGAGAACTCTGAGGAAATGTTCTCCTGTTTCATTCAAGACTACTTCCCACTTTCTCTTCTATGAGGTTCAGTGTGGCTGGATTTATGTTGAGGTCTTTAATTTTGTGCATGAGGATTGATATGGATCTATTTGCATTCTCATACATGTTGACATCCAGTTTTGCCAGCACCATTTGTTGAAGATGCTTGCTTGCTTTTCTCCATTGTATAATTTTAGTTTACTTGTCAAAAAGCAAGCATTCATAGGTGTGTGGATTAATATCAGGGTCTTTGACTCAATTTCATTGGTTCAACTGTCTGTGTTTATGACAATAACAAGCTGTTTCCATTACTAAGCTCTGTAGTAGAGGTTGAACTCAGGGATGGTGATGCCTCTGGAAGTTCCTTTATTCTACAAGATTATTTTTGGATATCCTGGGTTTTTTTTGTTTTCCATATGAAGTTGAGTATTATTCTTTCAAGATCTGAGAAGAATTGTGCTGGAATTGTGATGAGAATTGAATTGAATCTGCAGATTGCTTTTGGTAAAATTGCAATTTTCATTTTGTTGTACCTCCCTATCCAAGAGCATGGGGGATCTTATCATTTTCTGATATCTTCTTTAATTTCTTCCTTCAAAGACTTAAAATTAATGTTGTACAGCTATTTCACTTCTTTGGTTAGAACTACTCCAAGATATTTTGTTATTTGTGACTTTTGTGAAGGGCGATGTTTCTCTGATTTCTTTTTCAGCCCTTTTATTATTTGTATACAGGAGGGCTACTGATTTTTTTTTTTTCAGTTCTTGTATCCGAACCCATTACTGAAGGTGTTTATCAGCTGTAAGAGTTCTCTGGTAGAATTTTGGGGATCACTTATGTATATTATCATTTTGTCTCCAAATAGCAAAATTTGACTTCTTCCTTTCCAATTTGTATCCCCTTGATCACCATTTGTTGTCTTATTGCTCTTGCTAGAACTTTGAATACTATATTAAGTAGATATGGAGAGTGGACAGCCTTGTCTTCTTCCTGATTTTAGTGGAATCACTTTGGGTTTCTCTCCATTTAATTTGATGTTGGCTGTCAACTTGTTGTATATTGCTTCTATTATGTGTAGATGTATCCCTGATCTCTCCAAGACCTTTATCATGAAGAAGTGTTGTATTTTCTCAAAGGCTTTTTTCAGCATCTAATGAGATGATCATATGGTTATTTTTTCTTTCAGTTTATTTATATGGTAGATTAACTAGACAGTTTTCATATGTTGAACCATCTCTGTATCTCTAGGATGAAGCCTACTTGATCACAGTGGATGATTAATTTTGACGTGTTCTTCTATTAGGTTTGCCTGTATTTCATTGAGTAGTTTTGCATCATACTCATGTAGGAGATTAGCCTGTAATTCTCTTTCTTAGTTGAGTCTTTGTGTGGTTTGGGCATCAGGGTAATTGTAGCCTCATAAAAGGAATTCAGCAATGTTCCTTCTGTGTCTATTGTGTGGAACTACTTGATGGATATAGGGATTAGCTCTTCTTTGAAGTTCTGGTAAAATTCTGCCCTGAAAAATAAAGCCATGGGCTTTCTTTGTTGGGATCTTTCAATAACTGCTTTTATTTCATTATGGATTTTAGGTGTATTTAAAATGTTGTTGACTTTGATATGGGTACCTATCAAGAAAATTGTTCATTTCTTTTAGATTTTTCAATTTTGTGGAGTGCATATTTTCAAAGTGTGACCTGATGATTCTCTGGATTTCCTCAGTGTCTATTGTTATGCCCCACCTTTTCATTTCTGATATTATCAATTTGGATATTCTCTCTCTGCCTTTTGGTTAATTTTGGATAAAGGTTTTAGAATCTTGTTGACTTTCCCAAAGAACCATATCTTTGTTTCACTGATTCTTTGCATTGTTTTAATTGTTTTGTCTTGTTTTGCTTTTTTGTTTGTTTGTTTAATTTCAGTCCTCTGATTATTTCTTGGCATGTTTTACTGAGTAGTTTGGTAATTTGCTTCTTTTCTTCTAGAGCTTTTGGGTGTGTTGTTAAATTGCTTGTGGGATATTTATCTACTTTTTTTTTATGTGGGCACTTGGTGCTATCAACTTCCCTCTTAGCTCTGCTTTCATAGTATCCCAAAGGTTTGGATATGTTGTGCTTTTATTTTATTTGGATTGTAGGAAGTATTTAATTTCTTTCTTTATTTCTTCCTTGCACAGTGATGATTAAGTTGAGCATTGTTCAATTGCCATGAGTTGTAGGCTTTCTGTAATTCGCTTTGTTGTTGAATTCTAACTTTAGGCCATGGCAATCTAATAAGATACAGGGGGTTATTCCAATTTTTTCATATCTATTGACATTTGCTTTGTGAATGAGCATGTGGTTAATTTTAGAGAAGGCTCCACGAGGTGCTGAGAAGAAGATATATCCTTTTATTTGTAAACTGCAGGATCTGATGGGGTGACACTGGGGCAGCCTGCCTGCAGATTTGCCAGCTGCTCTGCAAGTGTGGCTGAGAGGGCCCAGGGTATAGAGACTGGGCTGTCCAGCAGTGGGGCTGGTCACTCCCATCTTGGTCCTGTCTGTGTAGTTGCAGTCTGCATCTCAAGGGCCACTGAGAACGGGGGTGGGGGCTAAGTGGGATTTGTAGGTTACAGTATTTGCTGTAGGTTACACATGGAGCAGCTTTCCTCTGGCACACACCTTTGATCCCAGCACTCAGGAGGAAGAGGCAGGCAATCTTGTCTACAGAGCTAGTTCCAAGACAGTGAGACTTGTTGCATAGAGAACCCTGTGAGAAACTATACTCCAAAAAACTATTATATCTTTTAAAATGACACCAGCTTTTTCATAGTTTTGCAGTAAACATTTTTGACTGGATTAGGTTCTTCTGAAAGCCGCAAGGCAGTTACCAGAGTTTCTTTTGTATATCTGTGACAAGTCACAACTATATAAGCCATCCTTTTAAAGGAAGTTTTATATTGAAGATACAGAAGGATACACTCTGTGATGGGGGAGTGAAGGCATGGTGACAGGAACAGCAAAGGGCTCACATGATAATCTATAATCAGGAGGCAGAGAGAATACATGGGGAGGGTCAGTGTCTTTTGAATTCTTAAATTTCCCCAGTGTGATAGTCATTCACCATAGACCATACCTCCTAATCATTCTCAACCATTCCACCAATGGGAACAGTTTCCAACAGCCTATTTGGGCCAATATTCACATGGATCATAACTATAGTTGTTTACAACACTACTGTTCTAGCCCCAGCTACAATAAACAAAAACAGGTATTATTGCACATACTGCAAAGGATTTTCATCCTTTATATAGTAAAATATTAGAAGTTAAAAGAACACTTCAGCAGAACTCATAATGTTTCTTTCTACTTTAAAACACTATACCGGTTCCTTAAAGTCTACTCTTATGAACATACTTTACTCACTGGTATTCCTGTGTGTGTATTCTTGTGGAAGTGTGCATGTGACTGTCAGAAGACTGCTTTCAGGAATAGGTCCTCTATTGCCACCATGTAAGATCCAGAAAGGTAACTGAGATATGTTTTCTAGCAATAAAGCACTACTAGCTGATGCATTTCACTGTCCAATCACATTAATCTTTCTTACCTCACAACAGAAGCAATTTAACCAATGCACTATCACTCAGTTAATACTGGTAAGAGTTTCAGACACTGTAATTTTCACTGTGAGATCATTGTGGGTTTAAGCCAAATGAGAAATGTAGAAATTGAGAAACACAATGCTTAAATTGACCAACAGTTTAAATTTTATTCACTCTAAGCCAGGTGATGGTGGCATACACTTTTAATCCCAGCATTCAGAGGCAGAGGCAGGTGAATCTCTGTGAGTTCGAGGCCAGCCTGGTCTACAGAGTGAGTTCCAGGACAGGCTCCAAAAACAGTAGAGAAACTGTCTCAAAAAACAATAACAAAAAATATTCATCCTAAACACTTTGAATATTTTTCCTCATTTATTCCAAATGTAAAGGCTTTCACCAGTGGGGGTGGAGGGGTGAGTATAATAGTAACTATAGCTGCTAAAGAATTTAACACACACACATGTAAGGACTCTCTCCAGGGTGAATTCTTGAGACCTCATGGCAGCAGCAACTAGTGAAGGATTTTGAATAATACATAAATGCATACATGCATTGGGCTTCTTTTCAGTACAAATTCTTACATGAGGATTACAGAAACTAGAAGTGGTCAAGGCTTTCCCATTATGCTTGATAAAATGACAAGAATAAAGTTTCCCAAATGTTTACAAAGGGTTTTCTCTCCATTGTGAATGTTTTAATTAGTCTAGTGCCAAGGGGGACTACTGAAGGCATTCCCACAATGCTAACAAGCATTAGCCTACTGACTAGTGTGAACTGTTTCATGTCTGTTATGATCAGCAAAGCAGGTGAAGGCCTTCCAAATGCTTCCATGCATAAGGCCTGTCTTTACATACAAAGGGCATCTCTCCACTGGGATTTTTTTCATGGAAGATGAGGACAAGTAGAAATGCTGAAGGTTTTTCCACAATGTCTATATGCATAAGGCTTCTCTCAAGTGTGCTTTCTTTCATGTCTGTTACGACCACAGGAGTCCCTGAAAGCTTTGCCACAATGCCTACATGCATAATGCTTCTCTCCAGTGTGACTACGTTCATGTTTGTTACGATTACTGGAGTCGCTGAAAGATTTGCCGCAGTGCTTACATGCATAAGGCTTTTCTCCAGTATGAATTCTTCCATGAATGATCAGAGAACTGGAGCGTGTAAATTCTTTTCCACAATGTGTACATATATACAGCTTCTCTCCTGTGTGAAGACTTTCGTGTCTCTTAAGGTTCCTAGAGTCAATAAAAGCTTTTCCACAATATTTACATGGATGAGGCTTCTCTCCAATGTGCTTTCTTTCATGCCTTTTACAATTACAGGACTCACTGAAAGCTTTGCCACAATGCTGGCATGCATACAGCTTCACTCCAGTGTGCCTTCTTTCATGTCTGTTTCGACTATTGGAGTCCCTGAAAGCTTTGCTGCAATGCTTGCATGCATAAGGCTTTTCTCTAGTATGAATTCTTCCATGAATGATGAGGTCACTGGAGCGTGTAAATGCTTTTCCACACTGCTTACATGCATAAGGCTTCTCTCCAGTGTGAACACTCTCATGTCTTTTTTGACTACTGGGGTCAGTGAAGCCTTTTCCACAATGCCTACATGCATAAGGCTTCTCTCCAGTGTGCTTTCTTTCATGTGTGTTACGACTCCTGGAGTTCCTAAAAGCTTCTCCACAATGCTTACATGTATAAGGCTTCTCTCCAGTGTGAGTGCGTTCATGTGTTTTACAATTACCAGAGTCCCTGAAAGCTTTGCCACAATGCTTACATGCATAAGGCTTCTCTCCAGTGTGACTCCGTTCATGTTTGCTACAACTACTGGAGTCCCTGAAAGTTTCTCCACAATGCTTACACACATATAGCTTCTGTCTGGTGTGAAGACTTTCATGTCTCTTAAGACTCTTAGAGTCAACAAAAGCTTTTCCACAATTTTTACATGGAAAAGGCTTCTCTCCAGTGTGCTTACTTTGATGTCGGTTACGACTATTGGAGTCCTTGAAAGCTTTGCTGCAATGCTTACATGAATAAGGTTTCTCTCCAGTGTGTCTCTGTTCATGTCTGTTACGACTACTGGAGTCCCTGAAAGCTTTGCTGCAATGCTTGCATGTGTAAGGCTTTTCTCTAGTATGAATTCTTCCATGAATGATGAGAGTACTGGAGCGAGTAAATTCTTTTCCACAATGCTTACATACAAAAGGCTTCTCTCCAGTGTGAACACTTTCATGTCTTTTTTGACTACTGATGTCAATGAAGGTTTTTCCACAATGTCTACATGCATAAGGTCTTTCCCCAGTGTGCCTTCTTTCATGTTTGGTACGGCTACTGGAGTGACTGAAGGCTTTTCCACAATGCCTACAAGTAAAAGGTTTCTCTCCACTGTGAATCCTTTCATGAACATTCAGAATACTGGAGCCGGTAAATGCTTTTCCACAGTGCCTACAAGCATAAGGCTTCTCTTCTGTATGAGTTACTTTATGACTCCCAAAATATTCTGCATACTTAAATGTTTTGTCATATTGCCTACAATTGAATATATTTTGTACAATATGACTTTTTTCGAGGTTGAAAATATCACTGGGATTAATGAAGGATTCTTTACAGAGCTTATACACAAAGGGTTTCACTTCTTCAAGGATCCTTTTATCATTCTGGTCATGTGTGTCTCTCATAGAATCATTCTCATTGAGTTTATCTCCGTGACTTCTCTCCTGAGGATGATCAGAAGAAAGACTCCTACAGACTTCATTACATTGTTGACATTTCCGGGGTTCCCCGCTAGAATCCTCAAGAAACTGATGTGATTCAGAATGACTGATATCTTTCCAATATCTTTGATATCTATAAAGTTTTGCCATAGCTTCCGTATACACAGATGGTATCTGTATAGTTTTTTCATGTGAGGATGAATGGCCAATGATGTTTCTTAAAAGCAATGGTCTTTCATGAACTCTTACTTGAGGAGGCATATCTTTACTGGTGATATTTTCTGAAATAGGTTCCTGGTTTTTATCATACTCAGTATCACAGTCTTCCTCAACCATTGGAGTTCTATAAAAAATGAAAAAAGATTAGTGTATCCAAGGAAAATATTGATCTCTTGCTCTCTTATCCCTTCCCCAAATGTTATTAGCTCAGTCTGTGTACACAAGAATACATACACATAACAAACAGGTAAAATAATTATGAGGCATAAAAGGAGTGGACAAGAAAGCCAAAGTTCTGGTAGACAATCACAATAATCACATAAGGAGGTGAAACACTGTGGTCTCTGGCATTCTATATACTAAGCATGTGTTGGTGAGTTAGTTATCAACTAGATCAGTTGAGGGATATTGGAGAACAGGGATCTTCAAAGGAGAAAAGGACATAGGTTGGCCTGTAAACAAGTCTCTGGAAGCATTTCACATTCCTGATTGATGAATAATGGTTTAAATTATGATGTGTATTGTTGCTATGGTTAAGAGTGCATGAGTTGTGTCAGATAGGCACCTGCTGGATAGTTGTGGAAAGTTGACACAAACTAGGACACATCTGAAAACAGGGAACTAAAGGAGAGAATGGCTCCATCAGATTGAAATTTAGGAATGTCCTCAGGGGCATTTTCCTGATCACTGATTGAAGTAGAATGCCTCAGCCCACTGTGAGTGGGGTCTCCCTACAGATGTGGGTGAGGGTTTAATAAGGCAGGTATCTGAGTTAGGGGTGAAGAACACACCAGTAAATAGCATTTCTCCATCACCTCTGGTTCAGTTCCTGCTTCGAGATTCTTGCCAGGCTTGAGTTCTGGCCCTGGCTTTCCTTTACGATAGGACTGAGACAAGGAAGTATAAGTAAAATTGGGCTCCACCCCAGAGTTATTTTGTTGCAAGAAAGCAAATAAAACACAGCACTTATGTTCAAAGTCTCAAAAATAATACATAGACATATGGTAAACTCGTTTGGATATGAGTCTTATGTAATAAAAAACTGTAAAAGCTCTTTCAGAGCTAAATGCTGCATGACACATTTGTGATATCAATAGATTATATAGATCAGCTCACATATTGAATGACAATTTAATTCTCCATTACAGGAATTTGTGAAGAATCATTTTTTCACTCAGGTATATTTGGAGCCATTGGTAGGTTCTCAGTTGTCCCATGATTCCCAAATGTTTGATATAAATTCTGTTCTACTGAATATAAATTACCCCATATTTCTACTGAGATCTTTGCAGTCCTCTTCAATATTTTCTTGTAGTGCTTCCTCTGGAAGAAAACCCAAAGAATGCATTATGACATGGTCATATTCAACATAAAAATTATGACAACCTAGGTTTTATGATATGGGCTCTCACATTATATTCATCACATATTTACTTCAAATACCAACACTATACACATAAGCATCATGCAGTTGTTTTCTGAATAAGAAATGGGAGCAATTTTTTTTTTACCTATGTAGATCAGGTTCAAAAATGTCTCATTCATCACATCTCTGTAGAGCTTCTTTTGACTAGAATCCAACAAAGCCCATTCTTCTACAGTGAAGGCCACAGTCACATCCTCAAAGGTCACTGGCTCCTAGGAGTACATATATTAGGATGGTTTATTGTTTCTGACAGACTGTCAGGCTACAGAATCATCTAGTATATATGTATCTGAAAAACCACTGACTGACTATACAAATAGGATTAACTGAAGAATATCTGTGGGATGCTAGCTTGATTACTTGAGGTAATGAAGGAAGACCCCTTAGTTACTATCCAATTGGCCTTAGGAAATATCATGACCAAGCAACTCCTATAAAAGAAAGCATTTAATTGGGGCTTGTGTACATTTTTATGGGGTTAGTCAATGAATACTACTGATGGGAGATGTCATTCTGTAAATATGTTTCTCTTATTTGTTAAAGAATATAAAGCACTGTTGGCCAATATGAAAGGAAGATAGGAGGGACTAGGAGACAAGAAGGAAAGAGGAAGTAGTAGGGAGGAGTCAGCATGGAGAGACTGGAAAGAACAGTGGTCCGGGCCCACTCTCCGGTAAGATGAGACCACGTGGAAATACTTAGATTAATAGAAATGGGTTAATAATTAAGACAGAGCTAGCCGATAAGGAACTAGTAACTGGCCAACAGCATTTATATCTAATATAATGTCTCTGTGTATTATTTGGGCTGGCATGTAACAGATTACATTCTGGGAAGCAGACTGCTATGGAGTTGGATGGAATACATTCAAAACAACACACTTGTTAGGCACATTTTTTTAAAACTCTATAGGGATTATATTAGTGGAAGGATGGAGCCGAGACCCATAACAACTACACAATACTCTCTTCCTGACTGTGTGCACTGTGACTAGCAGCTTCATAGTTCTGTATTTTATAAACCATACATACCCTTTACCCTGACTACAGTCACTTTCCTCAGAGGGGCCCTAACTTGTAAAATATGTGGCAAACTTAAGAAGTAGGGGAGAGTTAAATGGAGTAAGGGACAAGGTGAGACCCAGAGGCTGAAGCTCTTACCACTGATGCCCCAGTGAAAAGGAATTTCCTTTCTCTGGGCCTTGCTGAGACTGTAAAGTACCCAGCATGTATTCTATATATGAAGATTATACAGGCAAATTCATAGCAACAAATATTCTGGAGTCTGTATTTCCTACAGACTTTACAAGGCAAGTTTTCTCATCAGAATTCGATTCTGGTGGGTTTATACCTATAATATTAATTGCTATTGCTGTAATAAATAATAATGGCTCTCTGTAGCATGAAAAATAAAAGACCCAGGGACACATATCAGGCTTCAAGCTGAAGACCAGAAAAGCCACTAGCTCTTACCTTTACCTCAGACTGAAAGGAGATCCCAGCTCCACCAAACCTCAGATTGCAATCCCAGACTGCTATGCTCTCCTTGATGTGGCTGGAAAACCCTGAGACTGACCACTGAAGATCCTGCTCCTATCTTTTATATCTCTCTAGTTCTGGAATTAATGGTTTGAATTCTGTTACTCTTTTAGACTGATTCAATCTCCTGTAGCCATAAGAGTGATCTCTGAGTTCAGGGCTAGCCTGGTCAAAGAATTTCCAGGGGTACACACAGAAAACCTGTCACCAAAAATATACAAACAAGCAAACAAACAAAACAAAAATCAAGGAAAGTAATAATGCTATATTAAGTACAAATTAAAAACTGAAATGAAAATTTAACCACACACACGAGATAATAAATATATTATAAATTTTTCTTCAAGTAAACTTTCAACTAAAAACATTTTTCCATCAGGTACAAAGCACACTTGACTTTCACATGAACATTCTAAAGTTTCCCAAGAGAAATCATACTGTCTACCAAAACCACCTATCTGGAGGCCAAAGGGAAGAGATTAAATATTAATATTTTCCCAAAGGCCTGCAACACTAAGAAGTACTTTTTGCAGAATGGACACTCCCAATCCCTTCTGTCTAAAGAAGCCAACAAGCAGCAACAACAAAAACACAAAGCCAATTTTTTTTTCTTCTCTGTATTGCTTTGGAGCCTTTTCTGGAACTCGCTGTTGACCAGGTTGGCTTCGAACTCACAGAGATCTGCCAGTCTCTGCTTCCTGAGAGCTGGGATTAAAGGCGTGTGTCACCAATGCCCAACACTTTTCAAAATTCTAATTGGGATATCAAAAAAAATCACTGCAAACAAAATATGAAACAAATTTAAATTTCTCTCTCTCTCTCTTTTTTTTTCTCTCTCTTTTTTTTTTTTTTTTTTTTTTTTTTTTCTGACTGGTAACTTTGAACAACTGCAGTCAAGAGAACTAGAAAAAGTCATCTACAATATTACAAAAAAAAAAAAAGGAAAAACTGAAAAACAAAACAAACCAAACAAACAAACAAAAAATCATGCAGGATGTGGTGATAAGTGGTAAAGACACAGCTCTGTGACAAACCTCTCTAACTCCAGGAAACATGGAAATCAATTCTCAGGCACACCAGATGGCGGAGGGGAATGCAGGAGAGAGGAAAGAACTCCAAGGTGATAATGAGAAAAACCTAAGTCACCCCAAACAGAAGCACAAAAGGAGACGGGAAACTAAGGGGAAATGCATGAACCTACAGGACAGTCTGGACTTGGAATCACCAACCCACCAGTGCTGGGAAATCTGTGTACCCAAAGATTCACTGCAAGGACTAAACCAAGGAGGCTAGGGATTGCCTGGAAGCAGTTTCATCAGGGTAGAAAAGTGGGGTACAAGAGGCTCCAGGCTGCGGCCTGTGGAGTGCTCACTTCAAGGGCAAGTGGGCAAGGGCATGCTCCTGGGCCAGACTCCACCTTCCACTGGAATGCACAGCTCCAGGAGAAAATGCAGCTGCTGGTGCTGAAAAAGAGCTAATACCCCACACCCACCTCTCAGGACACCAGCAGCCCAGGGCACACTCACCATTTTTTGGTCCTGATGTGTCTGGGTGTCTCCCAAAGAGTCTTGCAGTCAGCAAAAGCACATGTCCACCAAAACAGGTCTTCAGAAGGAATCCCTCAGCTAAGGGAACTTTACAAAGGTTTCCTGGAAATAGCACTGAGACTATCTGTACTACTCATTGGACAGTTCATTCCTTCTAGTGGACAGTTCATTCCTTCTAGTAATGTTGTTCCTGATCGGTCATATCTACTCACTCCGCCCCCCTCAGTCTTAAGCTCCTAAAACTTTTAGGAAATACCAGGTTCAAGCCTTTAATAGAAGGCAGACCTTTGTGAAATAGTCATTCAGGAATAGATGGTGAGACCCTAACTAAAAACCAAACAAAAATTTCAGACATTCTCGTCTTTTTGGGTGGTTAGAAAATTCGTGCTCTGTACATTCCAAAGGAGAGTACTGTTCTATTGTACATTCCAAACGACTTACATAATAGAAAGTTGTTAGGTCAGGTACAGAAGATGGCCACAGATGGCTATTCGGAGGGCTAAGAAGGGCCCAAAGTAATGGACCTGTAACACTCCAAAGTGTCTCCTATGTTTGATGTTCTCATCTGTTAACGGGCCTTACAGAAGGTTCAGCTTTGGTTCGCATGCATCATCCTTGAGCGTACACACCAGACGATTCTTCCCAAACCTGTGTCTAGACTGACCTAGGGACCTCTTCTCCCCTGATTTCATGCCTTGTACTCCTAAGGTACTGAATGTGGTTGCTGGCACTATTTCTAAGTGAAGAACCCATCGTGGCCCACTAAATACACCAGGGAAGAGTCTCTAAAAACCCAAACATGTGTTTCCTTAAATGCAAGGTTACCCCAGGTTGGACCAGGTTTATTCCAGGAAGGAAACAGGGTAGAACAGGCCACGGGGGAAACCTGTCGTTACAGTTGTACCCCTGCAGGAAGGCGTGTTTTCTAGGTTATAAAATGGTTCCCCACCCACAACCCATACCCATCCTACAATCCCCCAACCCTCCCAAATCCCCATCGCCTCTCCTTACCATCCCCCTTCACTGCGCATATCATTCGCCAACCAGGGACTCTGTTGTGACTTTGCATTAACTGTCCAATGAGAAGCACGGATATTTGGAAGGTGTGGCCGTTACCGCCATGTTTGAGTTCCAGAAGCGGTTGAGAGGTCCCCCGACCTTGTTGACCATGCCTCCAGCTGATGGTAGGCCCTTTACGAGGGGGACCTGGGGTGCATCAGAAACAGGAAATGGTGAGTGCGTTGTGACACTGCTGCGGCTTTGGCGTAATGTGGCACCGCAGTCCTGACGTTTCCCTGGCGCTGAGCAGCTGAGTCTGAGATGCAGCCCCTGCGCTGTCGCCCCTCCTGCTCTTAAAGTGTGAGCGGAGCAAGCAGCAGAGAGTCCGGGAACCTGCCCTGTCTCTTTGAAGCTGTTTCACTCCAGTCCAGTTCCTGTCGGGATGCTGAGTCTGAGATGCAGCCCCTGCGCTGTCGCCCCTCCTGCTCTTAAAGTGTGAGCGGAGCAAGCAGCAGAGAGTCCGGGAACCTGCCCTGTCTCTTTGAAGCTGTTTCACTCCAGTCCAGTTCCTGTCGGGATGCCTCGGGGTTGTGAACTTGAACAGCGAAAGACTTTGCAGTGGACGGACTGCTTAGTCCTGCACCGACCCCAGGCTGTACTGTGAAGGCTGTGAGTGCTGTTGCTCATTCTCCCCTGTGGTATTTCCCTTGGATCATAACATTTTCTGGCTTTTGTTTTTTGCTTTGCTTTGCTTTTGATAATAGCGCAAGAAGCTCCTGGCTGAGGATGGGTCAAAATTTACTGGTTTGTAGGAAGGAAAGAAATTTAAACTTGCTTTAGAACTGTTTCAGTGTAGCTCTTACTCTCTGAGGCATTAAGTGAGATTTTGGGGAAGCTTTTCCCAGCCTTGCTGATAGTGAAGAAAGTGACTTTTAAGATGTAACTCACTAATAAGAAACCAGGTCTCTTGGGCGGTGGTGACACACACCTTTAATCCCAGGACTTGGGAGGCTGAGGCAGGTGGATTTTTGTGAGTTTGAGACCTGTCTGGTCTACAAGATCGAGTTCCAGGACAGGCTTCAAAACTACACAGGGAAACCCTTTCTTAAACTCCGGCCCCCCACCCCCCAAAAAAACAAAACAAAACAAAACAAAAACCAGAAACCAGGTCTGCAACCTGGAGACACATGGCTTTGCCTTCACACCCTGGGCTCTCTGATAAGAATTAAGTGTCTTTTCTGAATTATCAGGGAACCTGATACTAAACCCTGAAACTGTAAGCCTCCACTCCAATAAATACTTTTTCTTTCTTAGCCTTTTAATTTATTAATTGAACAAGTATTTCACCAATATTATTTGTTGGTGGTAGCCATGTCTAGAGTTAAGGCCCACTCAATAGGAGTGAAGCCACGCCTGGTAATGAAAACCTAGCCATTTTCCTAGGGCTAGTGACATTATGAGTGTTAATAAAGAATCTACTACCACTGCTTTGCAAGACCACAATTATTCCTTACTATATTCTAAATCTTTTTTGTTTTGAGATAATGAGATTTTGTGTTATTTTGTTGATGGATAACTAATTTCAAAAGTCAAGGTGGTGTTTAAAAATTGCCAATTGTTGAAATTTTGTGGAATGATTTCTTTTTTAGTTTTTAAGCACTCTTTTCTCATTTTGCATACCAATCCCAGTTCCCATTCCCTCCCCTCCTCCTGTTTCCCCCTTCTCCCAAACCCCCTTCCACTCCTTAGAGAGGTTAAGACTTCCCATGGGGAGTCAACAAAGTCAGGCACATCATTTTGAGGCAGGATCAAGGCCCTCCCCACTATATTTAGGTTGAGCAAGGTATCCCTCCAAAAAGAATGGGCTACAAAAAAGCCAGTTCAAGCACTAGAAATAAATCCTGGTCCCACTACTAGTGGCTCCACAGACTACACAATCCATACAACTGTCACCCACATTCAGAGGGCATAGCTTAGCCTATGGAGGTTCCCGTGCTGTCAGCCCAGAGTCAATGAGATCCCATTAGCTCAGGTTTGCTGTTTCTGTGGGTTTCTCCCACATAGTCTTGTCCCATGTGCTCATATTATTTCTCCTTCCTCTCTTTGACTGGACTCCAGGAGCTCAGCCCAGTGCTTAACTGTAAATCTCTGCATTGACATCCGCATCCATCAGTTTCTAGATGAAGGTTCTATGATAACAATTAAGGTAGTTATCAATCTGATTACAGGGGAAATCCACCCTTCCACTAATGCTTAGGGTCTTAGCAGGAATAATACTTGTGGAATCTCCTTATACCCACAGATAAGTTTGGCTACCATGCCTCATCAAGAATGTAAGAGCCAGAGGAGTAGAAGGCACAAAGAAAACAGGGTTCTCTAAATCATCATGAGCAAAACTCACATAAACTCCCAGAGGCTGAAGCAGCATGCACAGGGACTGTACAGGTCTGCACAGGTCCTCTGTGCTTGTATTATGCTTTGTAAGCGTTTGCCATGTTCATGGTGTCTCTTCAGAAACTGAAACCATAACTAAGACAGAAGTTGGTACCAGGGATTGGGATATTGTTGTGATAGGCCTGAGCTTGTTTTTGTTTGGAAGAATTTGGACTTAAGTACTTTGCATTAGGAAAGCAGTTAGAATGTGTTCAGCACTGCTTAATGGGCCGTAGTAGTGGTAGTATATAAGACAGTGGTACTAATAATTATTTAAACTATGGGGGCTGGCTCAAAAGGCTTCAGAGGGAAAGACTATTAATGCATGGCCTAGAGATGGATCTTGTTATATTTTGGATAAGAATGTGACTGCCTTTTGCCCTTGTCTGAAGAAGTCTGCCTGAGGCTAAAGTGAAGGGATTTGGGTTAACTCAGCTGGCAGAGGAAATTTCAAGACAGCCTAGTATAGACTGTGCTGTGTGGTTCCTATTGTTCATGCTTATAAAGATTTATAGTGAAAAGAAGCAAGCTGAGCAAATATAAATACAAAGTGCACAGATTGAGAAAAGGGGCACCAGGAAGTAAAATCGTGTGTTAAAGGAGATAAACAGATTAAGATATGGAATGGAATTATGGAATGGAATTAATTCCAGCACTTGAGAGGCAGAGGCTGGCAGATCTCTGTGACTTGGAGGTTAGCCTCCAAAGCTACACAGAAACCAAACAAAATAGAAGATATGAAATAAAGTGAGTGATAATCTCAGGGCAAGATCCCACCCAGCTAAATTTCCAACAAGTAAAAAGAAATTAAAGAAAAGCTTGGAGCCAGGTGTGGTGGTGCACACCTTCAATCCTAGCACTTGGGAGGCAGAGGTTGCCAGATCTGTGCATTTTAGGCTAGCTTGGTCTACAGAACAAGTTCTAGGAAAGCCAAGCTTATGCAGTGAAGGTAGAAATCGAAAACAGAAAGCTGGTGAAGATGAATTGAACTAGGGAACCATGTTCTAGCCCCAGCAAGCAGCAGAACAAGTCAGCTAGGTCACATGGTTTCGGCTCTAGAGTTAAGGATAGAAGAAACAGGTTATGGAATTTGCCTCCACTTCTAAGGAAATCCATTTTACTATTTAAAAAAAAATTGATAAATATTATCCAGATATTATGGCACATGCCTATAATCCCAACACTCAGGTATAACACAACTAATAAAAACCCAGAGAGATATTGGGGTTCAAGCTGAGAGTCAGATGAGCAAATCAGATGGTCTCTAGCTCTTACCTCTACCTCAGATTGAAAGGGTGAGCTGGCTAGCTCCACAAATCCTCAGACTGCAATCCTAGAGTGCTGCCTTTTTTCAACGTGGCTGGAGACTAATTCCCAAGACTGACTTTGCTTCTTCCTTTTATACCTCTCAAATCCTGGGATTAAAGGCATGTGATCCCAAGTGCTGAGTTCACTTTTGTGTGAGCTGTTTCTCTTTAAGACTGGATCAATTTCCTGTAGCTCAGTGTGGCCTTGAACTAACAGATATATCTGCCTCTGTTTCCTGCCTTTTGGAATTAAAGGTGTGTGGCACCACTGCCTGGCTCTATGGCTTGCTAGTATGGCTGCTGGGATTCAGG